TGATCTCTGTTAGCACTTGCCGGTAAGTTTTTTTTGTAGCGGTTCAAGCAGTCCCTGACAGCCAGGTGCTCTTTTTCACGGGAGTCACACTAGTTTACCTATAAATTTTAGTGGCCAAAATGTCAATGGAAAGGTACACTATAGTGAAGAGGCCTACAGGATTCTGAGCATGTCAAGTGAGAGTGAAGGGGAAGACTCACTGACACAATCAGTCTCAGAATACGAACCTGTAGACAGCAGAAACACCCTGACAGATAGCTCAGACGATGGAGAAGAGGTCCCTGCTAAAATCAGGCGTACCCGACCCCATTCCCAGGTTGCTGAGATGTTACAAACACATGATGACTCTCATATGCAGCAGAGTGACAGTACTAGTGACGCTCTACCTTTTGGTGAATGGAAAGCACCAGTGGTCTAGTACATCCTGGTCTTTCACATACCAGCACTGCAGTATCACTTGGTGATGTGGCGAGTCCCATAAGTGCAGTACAAGCTTTTGCGGTGGCAAGCACAAGTAGTGTCCCGCAGCCACCAAGAATTAGTAAACAGGCCTGTAGAGCCCCATCCTGATTTAGTATCCTTCCAGATGTGCTTGAAAATCCCAATTTGCAGCCCAAAAATTCTGCAACACCCATACTTCCCCCATTCACTGCCCAACAGCAAATTTAAATACTCCCTTGATTGAGAACCTGATTCATTATATGCCCATGTTCTCTGCTGCCATGGCCAGGCATAGATAAGAGAGTCTAATGCATGTTATGCATTTCAATGACAACACACTCTAGCGTCCTCGGAGTGACCCTGAATTTTGGTCCACAAAATTCGGCCCCTCGTAAATCACCTTAACCAAAAATTTGCTGGTGTCTATACTTCCCATCAAAAACATCTGCGTTGATGAGACCCTCATTAATTTTTCTGGCCGCCTTGCATTCAAACCATTTCTCCCCAGAAACCATACCAGATACGGGTCAAGATGTATAAGACCTGTGAGGGGGCAACAGGCTATACATATAAGTTTCGGATTTATGAGGGAAAAGATGGGGAGCAGTGAAAAGATAGTTTGGGGACTTAGTGTCACCCTTTTTTCCATATGGGTTACCACTTATACGTGAACAATTTTTATTTAAGCGTGCACTATTTAGACATTTGTACAATCTTGAAATTGGTGTATGTGCAACCTGATTGCTGGGTCTTCCTCCAATGGCTTGTAAATACCCATCTTAGAAAGGGGGAAAAGCCTGTTTGAGAAATGAGGATGTAATTCAACTGCAGCACCAACTTGCTTATTCTGACAGCAACAGGGTCTTGCTCTCAGAATATACATATGTAGGTGTGGGCAGCAGTGTTGGATAAAATTTTTATTCCGCAGTTAAAAAAAGAGCATATATGCCAAAGCATTGGGGCCTGGGGTGGCCAGTGGGTGCATGGCCCCTATGCTTCGGCATATATATTTTATAATATTTTTCGGCAACATTTCATGTGTGCCCACCATTAGAAGTGGGTGGATGCTGTGGCATAGGGGCAGATACTTAATTCAAGTTCAGCAAATTTCAGAGTTTCAGTTATATTCCGTGGAGGTTTGGCCTCTAGGCGCAGCAACCATGTCACCTGTTACCTATCACCATGTTACTTATTTTGGACACTTTGTGAAGATAGTTGCCAATAACTAGTGGTAAAGGTATTCACTCAATTCTCAGGACAGAACTGTTTTGCCCAGCTAAGGGGTAATAAATACACTCCAGTAAAGGGAAGGTCCCCTGAGTGTATGCTTTGATGCTATTGAGGCCCAGCTTGGGTCTCCATCCTAAATAGAGGAAAGGGAGACTCTAAAGTTTTTTTTTGTGCCTCAAATGGAAATGGGTAAGAGTTTAAGCTAGTTAGGTCAGATAGAACTGTCTGCCTCTGTTCTTTCTTTCAGGGCCTTGGAAGACAACATGGCAAAAATTTGCCCTAAGGGGGTAGTCCATTGAGGATTTATGTGTGAATATAGTACAGACATCTAGGTTGTGTTTTGTTTTGTTTTTGTGTGGGAAGGTGGCCTCTTAGGAGAGGGTGTTCCCACAGTTAGCTGACAGACAGAATGTACCATCTATTTGCTGATATGTATCTTCTTGCATGTATTTTCGTGCAGGCCTACAAAGCGTTGGATACAGTGCGGTAAAGCATGCTGCCACTGGACTCTAGAGCAGTGGAGATGTGTTCTCTGGAGTGATGAATCACGCTTCTCTGCCTGGCAATCCGATGAACGTGTCTGGGTTTGGCGGTTGCCAGGAGAATGGCACTTGCCTGATTGCATTGTGCCAAGTGTAACATTTGGTGAAGGGGAGACTATAGTGTGGTGTTGTTCTTCAGGGGTTGGGCTTGGCCCCTTAGTTCCAGTGAAGGAAAACCTTAAGGTGCCAGCATACCAAGATATTTTGGACAATTTCATGCTCCCAACTTTGTGGGAACAGTTTGGAGATGGCCCCTTTCTTTTCCAACATGACTGCACACCAGTGCAGAAAGCAAGGTCCATAAAGACATGGATGAGCGAGTTTGGGGTGGAGGATCTTGACTGGCCTGCATAGAGTCCTGACCTCAACTCAATAGAACACCTTTGGGATGAATTAGAGCGGAGACTGCGAGCCAGGCCTTCTCGTCCAACATCAATGCTTGACCTCACAAGCCTGTGGAAGAATGGTCAAACATTCCTATAGACACAGTCCTAAACCTTGTGAACAGCCTTCCCAGAAGAGTTGAAGCTGTTACAGTTGCAAGAAAAAGTATGTGAACCCCTTGGGATTACGTGGAGTTTTGCATGAATTGGGCATAAAATGTGCTGTGAATGTCATCTAAGTCACAACAATAGAAGAACACAGTCTGCTGAACATAATACTACACAAACATTAGATGTTGCCATGGTTTAATTGCACATAACATGTAAACATTCACAGTGCAGGGAGGAAAAAGTATGTGAGGCCCTAGCTTAATGACTTCTCCCAGAGCTAATTGGAGCCAGGAGTGAGCCAACCTTGACTCCAATCAGTGTGATGATATTGGATGTGTTGCTGACAGCTGTCCTGCCCTTAAGAAACACACCTGTTTTGGGTTTACTGGTTTCAAGAAGCACTGTCTGATGTGAACCATGCCTCGCAGAAAAGAGCTCTCAGAAGACCTACGATCAAGAATTGTTGACTTGCATGAAGCTGGAAAGGGTTACAAAAGTATCTCCAAAAGCCTTGATGTTCATGTGTCCACGGTAAGACAGACTGTCTACAAATGGAGAAAGTTTAGCACTGTTGCTACTCTCCCTAGTCGTGGTTGTCCTGTAAAAATGACTGCAAGAGCACAGCGCAGAATGCTGCATGAGGTAAAGAAGAATCCCAGAGTATCAGCTAAAGACCTACAGAAATCTCTGGCACATGCTAACATTTTTGTTGACACATCTACAATAAGGTAAACATTAAACAAGAATGGAGTACATGGGAGGACACCATGGAGGAAGCCATTGCTGTCCAAAAAGAATATTGCAGCACGTTTGATGTTTGCAAAAGAGCACCTGGATGTTCCACAGCACTACTGGCAAAATATACTGTGGACAGATGAAACCAAGATTGAGTTGTTTGGGAAGAACACACAACACTATGTGTGGAGAAAAAAAAGGCACAGCACTCCAACATCAAAACCTCATCCCCACTGTAAAACATGGCGGAGGGAGCATCATGGTTTGGGGCTGCTTTGCTGCCTCAGGGCCTGGACGGATTGTTGTCATTGATGGGAAAATGAATTCCAGAGTTTATCAAGACATTTTGCAGGAAAACGTACGACGACCATCCATCCGCCAACTGAAGCTCCGCAGAGGATGAGTGATGCAACAGGACAATGACCCACAGCATACAAGTAATTCAACAAAACAATGGCTGCAACAGCACAGAATACGCCTTCTGGAGTGGCCCAGTCAGAGTCCTGACCTCAACCCGATTGAAATGCTGTGGCATGACCTTAAGAGAGCGATTCACACCAGACATCCCAAGAATATTGCTACACTTGAAACAGTTTTGTGAAGAGGAGTGGTCCAAAATTACTCCAGATCATTGTGCAGGTCTGATCTGCAACTACAGGAAACGTTTGGTTGAGGTTATTGCTGCCAAAGGAGGGTCAACCAGTTATTAAGTCCAAAGGTTCACATACTTTTTTCTCCCTGCACTGTGAATGATTACATGTTATGTGCAATTAAGCCATGGCAACATCTAATGTTTGTGTAGTATTATGTTCAGCAGACTGTGTTCTTCTATTGTTGTGACTTAGATGACGTTCAGAGCACATTTTATGCCCAATTCATGCAAAAATCCACGCAATCCCAAGGGGTTCACATACTTTTTCTTGCAACTGTATAGCTGCAAAGGGTGGGCCAACTCAATACTGAACCCTATGGACTAAGACTGGGATGTCAAGTTCATGTGTGTGTAAAGGCAGGCGTCCCAATACGTTTTACATTATAGTGTAGTCTAATTTAGTACATTGTGGTCTCCTGCTTAACCTCCCTAGCGGTATGATTATTTCAGATTTTTGGTGCTGAAAGCGTGGGGGTACCATTATTCTGCATGGAAATATGTAGTTTTTTTATTGTAGGCTGTAATATTTAGGAATAATGGACTGAAATCTGTCCGAACAAGAGTCTATTAAACATCAGGGTATGATAAAATTTGAAACACAAAATCATAAATTATAATTTAATAAATATTCATAAAAAAATAATAATATAATAATAATACATTTAATTCAAAAATATAATCAAACCAAAAACACTGACATTTGAATTATAGCGCCAAGTTCGCACATCGCTGAGCAAAGTCGCAAAATCGTTTTCAGTGTCTGATGACGAATTTCCCCACAAATCATTATCACTCAATTCTGCAAGTGGTTCTAATTTACTATCACTGTTCTCTAGCTGATCTAAACCTGCTTTTGACCTAAAGGGACGCTTTTTGGACGCCATGGACTTTTCTAAGTTTCCAGGCAGAAAGAACAGTCAAAATGCAGACAGGGGACAGGACAGAGCACTAGGGACAAAATGTATGTGAAATGGGTTGAAACAGCAATGTTTTACTATGTAAAATCGTTTTGAAAAAAATGACATTTTTTTAAAATTTTCAAATTTCCCGCCGCCAGCGGCGCCCGTACGTCCCGACGTCACAGGGACCGGAGGAGATGGCCGGGGACGCTGCAAGGGACACATCGCGGGAGCGCAGGACAAGGTAAGCTCTGCAGGGACTCCCTATGCAGTGCCGCATGGTAAGCCCGAGTGTAGCTCGGGGTTACCGCTTTTGGTACTGACATTTTACCCCGAGCTACACTCGGGAATACCGTTAGGGAGGTTACCAGGAGACTGCTAGGTAAAACATAGCAGCTTTTCTGCTTAACAGGAAGTTAGTGGGAGATTCTGTGTGGCTCACAGTGTTGCTGCTGTGTATGGCTCCTCTGTATCCAGAAGACCTTGGAAGGTTCTGGCTGAACAGCAGTGACCCATGCAGCAAATTACAGGGAGTGGTGTCCCTGAGAATGCTGGGTACTGTTATTTATATTCAATGAGCACATGTGATTTGTGTTCTTCCTCTTCCTTTCAGAAAGATGTTCCAGCCAGGGGAGGTGGTTGTCTCCCTGGCTCATGCTGCCAGGAGGCCTTGGGTGGGAGACCCGAAGGCCAGAATGTTGAAACCCAGGGTGCTTCTGAGAGCTGACTGAGGGAGATGTCTACAGATCCTGTTTGGTATTACGGAGGAAGGTGATCTGCAGCAAGGACCTTGTGAAATTTGGAGTATCCTACAACATCCCTTACCTATCCCAGTTCAAAAAAAACAAAACAAAAAAAAAACTACAAGCCCTACACTGATCATTGGAGTGATGAGCGGAAGTTGTGTGCACCTGACTAAGGAAATGCGGTGTGCTTGGCTGCAGGAGGAAATCTAGTGGAAAGCCTGGGCAAAACAAAAGCTGCTCCTGCGGGGGTAGTGCTACAAAATTAAAAATAATTTTTAAAAACACAGGTAGCTCTGCCACCTAGATGCCGTCAGTTAAGACAGTTTTTTTCCCCATACAGTGCATAGGCAGGCAGGCAGGCACGCAGCAACATTCCATTCACTCTGGCTCATTGAACAGTCTAGAGTATGTCTTTTAGAATATTTGTTGCTTGAAGAAACTTGTAACAGGAGAGGGTAGAGGTGTGTGAAATACTCTGAAGCGTTAAGCATAGTCTGCTGAGGACACTTCTTTCTCAGTAGCAACAGCACAAGTACAGGTAGAATGGGACACTCTATAGGTTCACGGTTGCGGACCATGAAGCAGTATGAGCACAGGTAAAGGCAGACCGAAACAGTCCACTATTCATGGCTGGAGAGTATGAAGAGGGGCAAGCATCTCTTCTCAGCTTACAGATCCATTCCCACAGAGGGGAAAAAAGACTTCCTCAGTATTCCAGGCTATTTAACAGCAACTCAGCCACCATCCTGGCACACTGCCCCAGGGATTGGCTAGGCCTTACTCAATTTTCAAGCTTGACATTAGAATTCTCCCTCCCTAAGCTCTAGGAACTTCCACTAAAGACAGAGGACAGCAATCAAACTGTCAGTCTGTGAAGCTCTGAACAGTTTAGTCTGTTCAGAGCTTCACAGACTGACAGTTTGATTGCTTTCCTCTGTTTCCTCTCTACTCAGAGGGGCACTAATTACAGAGCAAGCCAAAAACTAAATTTACAGTTGTGCTTAAAAGTTTGCATACCCTAGCAGAGATCGTGAAAATTTGGCATTTATTTTGAAAATATGACTGATCATGCCAAATAACTCTTTTATTATATGAAGCCATTTATTATCACATAGTTGTTTGGCTCCTTTTAAATCATAATGATAACAGAAATCACCCAAATGGCCCTGATCAAACGTTTACACACCCTGGAAAGTTTGGCCTTGGTACAGACATAGAAGGTGACACAAACAGGTTAAAATGGCAATTAAAGGTTAGTTTCCTACATCTGTGGCTTTTTAAATTGCAGTTAGTGTCTGTGTATAAATAGTCAATGAGTTTGTTAGCTGTCACGTGGATGCACTGAGCAGACTAGACACTGAGCCATGGGGATTAGAACAGAACTGTCAAAACACCTGCATAATAAGGTAATGGAACTTTATACAGATGAAACATCATAAAAAGGTATCCAAAGTCTTGAATATGCCAGTCAGAAGTGGGAAGTTCGGGGGATCTCTTGTTACCAAGTGCTGCACACAGGTTTTTTATCTTCATGCATAGAGTACTTGTTATTAAAATAGAAAACCTTGAGCCTTTAGAACCACTTTAAATAAAAGACAGTTTTTTGGCATGATCAGTCATATTTTCAATATAAATGCCAAACCTTCGTGATTTCTGCCAGGGTATGCAAACTTTTGAGCACAACTGTACCTAGCAGCTAGGTAGGGTACTTCATACATATTCATATGTGCACAATCAGGACACCTATTACATATAATTTATCACTACACATATAAGTAAGTAGGTTTTTATACAGGAATTTTTTGGTTATCATTTTATTATAAGGCTAAGAAGATGAATTAGTAAAGCTTTTATTTATACATTTGTACACCTTTGATTTTCACAAAAGGTAAAATAGTTTTAAATTTACACTTTTATGTATTAATTATACACAGTTTATCTTTTATATACATTAGATTTAGCATAAGATTATGTTATGTTTAATAATTACAAAATATTGCAGAAGATATAAATGGTTTTGGCAGGGTCTCCCTCAAACTCTCAAATATGTAATGTGTGTGAACAGCAAAAAAGGATTCAGCTGTCTGGTGCATACGGGACCAAGATCTGCCAAAGAAGCCATAAACATACATTAGTCTGGGTGATTTAGGACAGTTTAGGACAAGCTTGTTTTTTGTAGGGACTAACAAACAACAATCTTTTCCTGCAAAAAGATCTAATTTTTAATTATCATAAGTACCGGTAATGCTTTTTCCACCCTCTGGGTTCACCGACTCTAATATAAAAAATATTCTACATGCACTTCAACCAATATGATAAAGAGCATTCATTAAGAGGTCATAATTTGTTTTTGGTGTATTATATTTTAGCAACATGTACATAAATCAGCACGCACAGACAGTGTGGTTGAAACACAGCAAAGGAAACTCATAATAACTATGAACACTGCATACCTATACTGTATGTGTATCCTCGATGCAAAACTAACAACAGTTTTTAAGCACTGCTGGAGGCTACAAATTGTTGAAACATCAGACTGAAAAAGCTAGATTGTATAAACAGCATTTCTTACAGCTCAGGAAAAATAAGGCCTTTGGGGGGGAGGGCATGCCTAAATAAGATGAATGACAAAACAATGGCATTGGAAAGTAGAAATAGACTTACATCATTAACATTGTATACCTCATGTATAATGATGTCTGAAAGAACCATATGTGTCTACAAATGCAACCAACTGGCTCCTCCTTTAGCCAGCTTTGGACATTTTCTACAAGCAATCGCTAGTTTGAATCAGACTACAATAGAGCATTGGAGCACCATATGTAAAGAAGGGAATTACATGTTAGAAGGGGTTGTGTTAGTGGTAGAGGTTAGGTTAGCTTTAAGGGTTAATGTATGTAAAGGCATTTTTTTTTTAGTTTTGGATAGTCAGGAAATGGTTAAGATTCCTGACAAGTTTTTTTTTTTTTTTTTGACCTGTCAGGAAGATATCTCTTCAATTTCCATCCTGAGAGGCAAGAAGTTTCTCTAAAGCAAGGAAAAAATCCCCTCTTAGAAGAGGTGTCTCCATTAATTTGTCCCCTAATCTCCTGTGACAACAAATTTTGGATTTTACTTAGTGTTCCTAGTACTAACAAAATTACTTACTTCTCCTGCGCAGCCAATCTAAAAACTACAGTGAAAAAAGTGCCAATATTACTGTATCCCAATTAGTTACTGCTGATACCAATATGTGTTTCCACATACATCCAAAAATACAATACGTGTAGCTAGTGTTGCGATCATAAACCAAAGACCAATTAAAAAATCATATATTCCATACAGTGCATATATAATCATACATCAACATGATAACTTTTATAAGTAATTAATCATATTGAAGATAGTCATTATAGTCATTATAGTCATAAGATAGTTATTATAAAAAATGTCTATGGGTGATGTGTTCACTTTAAATCGGCACACTAATAATAATAATCAGTTCTACTTAGTGAACAATCTCCACTGATCACCAATCTATATGTGCTCCGCCACTACTGTGCAAACAGTACCCTCACCCAATTGATACCCACATCATGTAGGTCTAAAGCTCTTGGGGACACCTCCACTACCATCAGATTATTCTGATCCACTTCTCTCCCCAATGGTTTCTCCACCAATCTTGGTGTTTTTTTTTCCCTTTAAGGGGTCGGGGGGTCCACTGTATACACTCAATGCCTCAAATTAAGATCAATAACACGCTGTATAGTGTAGTATTAAAAACAACATTTATTAAACATGCACTCGCATATATAAACATGTATAAGCTTATCTCATAGTACTGGATCAGACTCAGGGAAAATGGCGGTACCCCCACTTCCGGTCACGAAGTGCACTGCCACCATTTTCTCTGACCCTGATTACTGTCCCTAGTACTGCTCAAAGGTCCATCACTGCCACCATCTCAGCTGTGTAATCCCACATTTTCAGGATCTGCTCCTCCCAGAGAATGTCAACGCATATTCTCAAGGAACCATTCTTCTTTTGCACCACCACTATGGCAGGGGCATAACAGCTTTGTGACTATTGGAAGATTTCCTTTCTATTCAACTCTGCCAACTGTTTGCAAAGATCTGCTAAGTCCCCCAATGGAATCTGTCAAGCCCTGTCCTTGAATGGCTTGTCTTTCTGAAGGTGAATTCGATGCTGGGCACTCTTTGCACACCCCACATCAAAATCATTCCTGATGAACATCTCTCACCATCTCAAGAGTTGGACTTTGGCCTTCTCCGTCCACTCAGGTGAAACTGGGGCATTCTGCAGGTAGAACCTTTCTACTGGAATCTCATCTTTTGCTACCCCATCAAATCAGATGGTTAGACTGGGGTAGCTGGATTCACTTGTCCTATCAGCATTCAGGGCTGTAACTTCACTGGACAGTCAGTAATGTTGCAAACACAGATGGGAATTTGTATTTGTCCCTACTATCAGAGAACTCTTGGTGGCTTCAGGTGACTAAGGAGTTGAATGTCTCTGATTGCCCAACCACAGAGGGGTAGAATGCCAACCTGATCAGCAGATACCCATCATAAGAGAACCTCTGGGTCCCAATACCCCAAATTTCTAGATCTT